CATGCTCGGTTTACTTTGATTGTGGCCCCCTGCCCGATTTTCGCCAAACACCATGCCCGGAAGTCCAAACGTCTTACAAGCAAACATGACGACGACGCTGAATACGGCGGGCACTGCAGAAAAGCCTGGCAACGCAGTCTTTTCCTATCTCTGGCTTGCCGGTCCGCACTGCATCTCGCGAATCATCCTGAATGTCGCAAAGCCGTCAGTTGCACCTTTGTGCACTCCAGGCATGTACCACCAAGGGCAATATTCTGCCTTGATTTCCTCGGTAACCTCAGTGCCCGGAGGCACGGGCATCTCGTGTTGCAGGTGCTGTAGCTCTTCCATGCGGAGTCCCAGATGGTCCAAAAGCTTCATCTCGCTGTATAAAGCAGAGAGGAACCAACGCCCTGTGTGGCCGTTCCCATGGGCAACAACTGGCCTCTGAAGTGTCTGTCGGTTCTCTATCCGCGGCTTTGGCGGAGAGGTGTCGCTATCGTAAATCACATCCCACTGCGGCTGCTCCTCGTACATACACTGGAACACGGAACACCTCGGCTCCACAGGATTTCACATCGCAATACAGCAGAACACCTGCCCTGCATCACTCTGAAGTAGGCACTGGAAGCTATAAAACCCGAATGGCTCGTCCCCGTAGGCCCTACAGTAGAAGGATGAGTGGAGCCACTGCGTATCCAGCACAAAGGGGTACCGGCTCCCGCGCGCTGCCCGAGCAATCAGGAAGTCGTGGAGCCTGACCTGATCGTTCTCCTCAGCATGCCGGGGCTTGCAGCAGAAGTATTCATTGCATCACTTATTTGGCCACTCATTCCTTCATTGTATATTTCTGACCCATTAACAATCATTAAAACATGCAATAATGAATAACTTTGGGTGTTGAGAGTCTTGAGGTTCAGGGTTTTGCACCTAAGTGTTTCGGGCGAAGGTTTACGTAAGAGTAGGGTCTTCTGCGTTCGGGGGGGCTTACGGTGAATCTGTTGGTGCTCTCCTCTGCAGGCAGCGACCCGGCGCCGTCTGTGTCATGGATGAGGCCGTCGAGCAAATCCGCCATGGTCTGGCAAGATCCACAGCCAAAGACCCTACCGATCAGAAACACGCATAGTGGAAGAACAGCTTTGCAAGCAAAGCTCTCCGAGTCATACAGGAACTGGCATACTCAAGCTTCGACGTCCAAGAGAAAAGCCGCAAAAACCCATCGGCCCATGTCTCGGTGCCTCTGCCGGACCCACGAGTCCACCAGAGTTGGGGTAACCTTGGCCCTATTCGTGCAAGTTGGTTCTGGGATGTAGGAATTAGGAAGCTTCAGGTCTAAAGCTGTCAGACTTGAACAGGCTGATTCTTCCAACGAGCAGTAATTGATTGCGCAAGGTAATTATGCTGACCACCTGGCACGCTGTGCGTCACATGGAAGAAGTCTTAATCATGCTGCGAGAGCGCGCCAAGGCGTCGTGCCATCCGGGTAGAGGGCTTCCATCTGCGCCTGTAGCGTCGCAATCATGGGGTCATGTTAGCTGGTACTAAGATTGCCATTGGTGCCATCCAGAAACTCTCTGTGACTACGGCTACGACGACTAATAGGATCGCTGTTGCTCCTCCGGGTAGTACTGCAGGAGCAGGAGCAGGAGCAGGAGCAGGAGCAGGAGCAGGAGCAGTAGCGGTAGCGGTAGCGGTAGCGGTAGCGCTAGCGGTAGCGGTAGCGGTAGCGGTAGCGGTAGCGGTAGCGGTAGCGGTAGGAGTAGTAGTAGTAGTAGTAGTAGTAGTAGTAGTAGTAGTAGTAGTAGTAGGAGTAGTAGTAGTAGTAGTGGTAGTGGTAGTGGTAGTGGTAGTGGTAGTGGTAGTGGTAGTGGTAGTGGTAGTGGCAGTGGCAGTGGCAGTGGCAGTGGTAGTGGTAGTGGTAGTGGTAGTGGTAGTGGTAGCAGCAGGAGTAGGTAGGTAGTAGGTTTAGGTGGTAGGTAGGTAGCAGGTACTACGTAGGTAGTAGCTAGTAGGTTGCAGCTAGGAGGTAGCTGGCGGAAAGCAGATACAGGAAGTAGTAGTAGTCGTCGTCGTCGTCGTAGTGGTAGTGGCCGTGGTAGTCGTAATGGTAACGGTAGCAGTAGCAGTAGAGTAGCAACAGCAGTAGCAGTAGCAGTAGCAGGAGCAGGAGAAGTAGCAGTACAACTAGCACTAGCATAGCAGCAGCAGTAGCAGTAGCAGTAGCACAAGCACTAGCATAGCAGCAGCAGCACTAGCAGCAGCAGCAGCAGCAGCAGCAGCAGTAGCACTAGCAGCAGCAGTAGCACTAGCAGTAGCTAGCACTAGCACTAGCACTAGCACTAGCACTACTGTGGATGGAGGAAATCTTGCACCACTTTTAAGATATGTTAGTTAGCTTCACCCCTTCCCCCCTTCTTAACATTGCTATGAACACGGGGATTTACAAAATCGTTCCAATGACATAAATCTTGCACCGCCCCAAGAGGTCTGTCGTCAATGTTAAGAAGGGGGCGCGGGGTTGTTGCTTGGATGTGTATTCGAAACAAGATGTGTAGGTGGTGCAAGATTTCCTCCATCCACCGTAGCACTAGCACTAGCACTAGCACTAGCACTAGCAGTAGCATAGCAGTAGCAATAGCACTAGCAGCAGCAATAGCAGTAGCAGTAGCAGTAGCAGTCGCAGTAGGAGTAGTACTAGTACTAGTACTAGTACTAGTACTAGTACTAGTACTAGTACTGGTACTGGTACTGGTACTGGTACTGGTACTGGTACTGGTACTGGTACTGGTACTGGTACTGGTACTGGTACTGGTAGTAGTAGCAGTAGTAGTAGTAGTAGTCGTAGTCGTAGTCGTAGTAGTAGTAGCAGTAGTAGTAGTAGTAGTAGTAGTCGTAGTAGTAGTAGTAGCAGCAGTAGTAGTAGTAGTAGTAGTAGTAGTGGTGGTAGTTGTAGTCGTCATAGCAGGAGTAGTAGTAGTAGTAGTAGTAGTAGTAGTAGTAGTAGTGGTAGTTGTAGCGGTCATAGCAGGAGTAGTAGTAGTAGTAGTAGTGGTAGTAGTAGTAGTAGTAGTGGTGGTGGTAGTTGTAGTCGTCATAGCACAAGAGGTAGCAGTAGTAGTAGTAGTAGTAGTAGTAGTAGCAGTGGTAAATGATGTGGTTGTTGATGATGATGTTGTTGCTGTTGCTGCGGCTGTTGATGCTGCTGCACAAGATTGCCATCAGCAAGTGGGCGATCGACTGCTGTGGAGGTCACTGCGTACTGTATCCTGCACGTCTTTCGCCACGTGAAGGTGCCCCCGACGACTGCGAGGAGATAGCGGGCCACTCGATGTTGCTGTTGCTGTTGCTGTTGCTGCTGTTGCTGCTGCTGTTGTTGCTGTTGTTTCTGTTGTTGCTGTTGTTGCTGCTGCCGCCGCCGCTGCTGCTGCTGGTGTTGCCGTTGTCGTCGTTGTTGTTGTTGTTGTTGCTGCTGGTGTTGTTGTTGTTGTTGTTGTCGTCGGCGGCGCGGTGGCGGTGGCGGCGGCGGCGGCGGTGGTGGTGGTGGTGTCGGTGTTGGTGTCTTTGTTGGTGGTATAGTGGTGTCGCTGCCACTGCCGCTGATGCGGCTGCTGGTTGTTGTTGCTGCTGTCGTAGTCGTCGTCGTCGTAGTCGTAGCAGTGCCGTAGCAGCAGCATGAGCAGTAGCAGTGGTAATAGCGTCGTGGCCCTCTCTCTCCCTCTCCTAAACATGAGAGTGTGGTCCTCCTCCTGCTCCTATAGTCTTGCTAGTCGTTCATCGTCTCCGTCGAATCATGGCGATGGTATTTGAGTTGAGGGTCTGAGGACTCTCAAAGGGTCAGTATTCTAGGAGAATGCTAAACTGAGCCCGGCGGCAACCAAGAAGTGGTTCGGGCCGCAAACACACTCCGTGCCCCCGAGGATGGTCTGCCAGGGCTGGGGTTTCGGGGTTGTTGGTTGAGGAGTTCAGGTGCAGGCTGTAGGGCTCACGGAGTTCGGGCGTCGAGCGGTCGAAGGATTGATCTCGCCAACAACCTGAATCGAGGCAGCTCGTCCATGCCCCATACTTTGCACAAAAAAGAAGACTTTCTTCCGGGTGTGACAGATGTGAGGACTTGGCCCTCTTAGTTCGGGCACGTTGTTTCTACAGGGGCGCTGATGGTCAGGATGCACGTAGTAGCGTCTAGGGGCTCGGGGGCTTCAACGGAGTTTGGTGTTGTGCTAAACTTGTTCAGCCTGCTCCCCAAGCTGTGAAGTCAAAGACGTGGCAACGGACTCGTGCGCAAACGTTGGCCCAAATACCCAACACCCATGCCCAACATAAACTGTCCGGTCAGCCCCACGGGTCCTTGGCAGGAATCGCTGAAAGCTTGGCCCGGAGCTCATCAGCAGGTGCCAGGATTACCTCAGGAGCTGAAGCGATCCTGTGGTCATGCTGCTATATTAATTGATTTACACATATAGCTATAGTACGAATAGGATTGTCATCTTCTGTCTTCCTCCGCTGCGGGGTCCTGTGTAGTCTTGGCTGGAAATCGATGCTGAGCCTCAGGACAAAGACTCAAGCCTGACTTTGCTAGAAGCCGTTTCGGTCGCTTGGCAGGTTTATGGACATCTAATGAAGTCAGGCCGTGTTGAGCACATAGCGGTCAATGCCGTCCAAGTGAAGTCAGTGATCTCACTTGCACGAACCATCGGACGAAAAAGGGCAGTACCCGAAGCTCGCAGCAGGGCCTTTCGGCAAAAGGCCGCAACCACCCCACATTACAGTAGCTCTGTAGCTCTTGCTCTTTTGACTCTTGGGCATGTCGCTGTGTCCCAGGCATCCAGGAGCATCACCAAATCCTCGGGCTGCAGCGTCGTGTCCAGCAGTCCTGAGCTTAGGAAGCCGCTTCAGGATTTAGGGCCTCGAACGTCGGTGCAGTCGCTGCAGGCTCTTCACCTTTCAGCTGTCTAAGATTTCGGCCTTGGGGCGTCGATCATTCGGCACGAAAGGCAACCGTCAAATGCATGGCTTAGGTGCCTCCATGGGACCCACATCCCAAACTCCAGAGTCTCGCAAGATCCTACAGCCAGAACATACCGTTCGGCTGAAGCTTAAACCTTGACGCCCGAACTCACGCCCGAACTCAGGCAGTATCCTAAAAATCGAGAACTCTGTGGATTTTGGGCCTTCAAGCACTGAAGTTCACACGCTTCGAGATCCTTTTGGTCCTGCTGGCACCCTCGAAGCCAAGACACGACGCAGTGTCCGCTCGTAGGCCAGAAACTTCGTGGCAAATCCCCTCCAGGGCTCGCCAAGGCCGACGGTGTGGAAGCGGAAACCTCGGAAGGCTCTCTGCTTTGTGGGTTTGAGCAGGTCGTTTTGCAGTTTGGGTGGTATCAGGTGGGGCATGAGTCACGGATGGCTAGTGAAGCAGAGCGCAGCGGAGGAGATATTTGCGAAAAGGAGTGGAGTCAGTCGCCAGATTAAAAGTGAAGTTAAACAGGGTACAGGTTTCTATAGACTCTAGACTATTGCACGACATGTTCCGGCAGAAACCTTGCACCGAGCCAAAATTCAAAATTAGAAACGCCTCGCGGAGCCGTTGGCCGGCACATTATGCCTTCGATTACTGAAATGTACTCGGTCACGCAGTCATGCGGCGGGCTGCAGGTTCTTTTCGAAGCTGAATATCGAAACTTCGAAACTGGTCGGATCTCAATTAGCACGAGACCAGCTGTACTGCTGTACACCCCAAGCCCTAGCAGCTCCGGCGCGAGCACCGCCTGCTCCGTGAACTACCACGAAAGCAGACAAGTCCCGTCACGCTCATGCTGCATAAAGCGCTTTGGCCTTGGCATAGAGCGCCTTGCCCTGAGCACTCTTGCCGCCTACTGCGCAGAAGCCTTTCATGCCCAGCTCTTTTCTCGCTGTCATCACTGCGGTGATCCACTTCTGCCCCAACTTCTGGAACAGCTTGCCGCTGGCGTGCTTCTTCTTGCTCACCACCTGTTGATTCCGGAGACTCCCCACAGTCGGATGACTATTGACATTTGCCGAAGGATGCTACCAACGGCAATGCAGAGCACCCTGCCTTGCCATACTTGTTCTTCATGAGGTGCATCTTCTGGAGGCCTGTCGCGGTCTTCTCCTCGCAGAGCTGCATGCTTGAAACAGCTCGTGAAGCTACTTGTACGGTGACATCATACCTGCAGCCTACGGCTTGTGGCCAAGCGGCGGGATAACCGAAGCTATTCACCTAGCTGGACTTTATGGAACATGTCACCAAACTCAGGTCTCCTTGCGGCCCTGGAAGACAGCTGCCTTCGCCAGCTTGCCACGGGCGATTTTGCTGACGGCTTTCTTCTTCATCACCTAAAACTCCGACTGCTGCAGGGAATGTGCAACCGCCCAACAAAAACAAGCATACAGCAAAGGCTGAACAAAAGCATGCCCCTGCAAGGATGGGCCTTCATTCGCTTCATGGCCTTGGCCTTCATGGCTGGCGACTTCGTTGCCTTCATCGCGGTCTTCTTCATAGGCAACGCCATGGGTGAGACGCGGTGAGGCTCTTCAGAGTGGTCGGATGGCAGGGCGGGCAGGCTTGAGGTCGCCAAGTTTGTCGGACACGTTCGCACACATGAATACTTGCAACCAGGTCCCTTGCCACGAAAAATTGGCCCTAAACCTTTCTTCTGCAAGCACTTTGTAGTGCGCTGTGCTCAGGAGAACCTCGCCTCCCACGCTGAAGTCCTCCCCTCCCTCGCAGGATTGTGCCGTAATGCACTAGATCACTCCAAAGTCTATAGTCTCTCAAGCACATTTGTGAGACTGCAGCGTTGGGGATTTGAAGTGATCAGCAGCGACCATGTTCTATGAACCAATCAGGAGAAAAGTTTCGGTGACTTGCTCAGCGAGGTCTAAATTCCGAACATGCAAGGATCTGGACTGACTCCGTCGCTAAAGTTCTCTCGTCTCTCGCGAGGACTCGGCTTTTCTGTTCCTAAACTTCTACAGCCCTCTATGCCATTACCAGGTCTCACAACAGCCCGGCTTTGAACTTTGCGGGTCACTGTTCCCTCACTAATCTGCGTCGCCAAAGCTCTCTCTCGCCTGTCACGAGTATGACTCTCACGAGGATCCAGCTTGGCTATGCACCGACCATAGTCTCTTGTGTCGTGCGTGTGCGTGTGTGCGTGTATGCGTGCACGCACGTTTGCTGGAATGTGTGTTCGTTCAATCGAGACTTCGCAAAATGCCATCGAGCAGCCGTTGCGGGCCGCACTCCGTTGCAGGATCGCAGTCTCCTAGGGGTTGTTCCAGCCCAGTCCCCGTGCCAGGTACCAAAAACCGAATCCTACGTTGACTAGGACGGCCACAAACCGGGGAATAACATCCTGAAGAGGACTGTTCCTCGGACAGCTATACGTCGAAGACCAACCAACAAAAGCCCTAAACTGCTTAAAGGCCGCACATAAAACCCTCCTGGCGGTACTCCGTTGCGCACGCCAGTACATGAACTGGACGGCTGGATGAGGACATCGCAGCCTTCGCCGCTCGAGCACCAGTGGAAATTCTTCGAAGTCCGGGTGCGCCTCTCCACAACTCTGCAAAGGAGGATCCTGAGTCTTCGCATCGGGACATGGCATGAGACATCGAAAGGTACTAATCCAACAACTCCTAGCGACATCACCGACACCGAAATCGCCGCCACCACTAAGAACCATCCTGGCTATCCTCACTGTCAGCATCGTCGTGGCAATCGCGAATACAAGATGGCTGAAACGACAGGAAGGAGCAAAGCAAAAAGGGCATAACTCGTGGCACGCAGGGGGATCATACTTGGAATTGCCACAGCAATCGTAAAAAAGTATACTATACTACATTGCTGATACCGACACCAATGCTAACAACGGTAAATGTTATCATGGCGATGGCTTGTCTATTGTTAGATCCAACGTTAGCAGGAACAGGAGCCATAGGCAACAAAACAACACCATCATGTTTTGCCCAACATTAACCCAGGCTCCCTGGCTGCGGAAGGCCACGGCACATGCCACTGCTCCGGCCAGGCGAGGAAGCTGGCATGGCACCGCGAAGACTTTACGCCGTGTCTGCGACATTGAGACAGCCAGAGGCTTGGCAGCTGCTACTCAGACATCTGCCGAATGAACTGGAACGTGGTTTGGGGCTCCATAAAGATACACTCACACACGCTATTACTTTCTGCGTATAAGATACACACGTGTGCAGCCCTATGCCGAAAGCCATGCATATGTAGACACATTGTTGTGATACCAGAGACAAAGAGAAGATGCTATGCACATACATTTATGTGTAAGTGTGTGTGTGTGTGTGTGTGTCTGTACATATATATATATATATACACACACACACTCGTTCGTCTATTCGTTGACATATGTGCTTATGTATCTAATCGTTTGGGTATTTACCTATTTGCCTGTTGATCTCTCTATCTAACTGCTTGTACTCTTTGTGTTCATATGTTTATGTCTTCATGTATTTATGTGTTCCTTGCGTTCGAACATAAACATGTGTATGTGTGTCTACATATATATATATATATATACCTGCGAGAGAGAGAGAGGGAGAGGCAGAGAGACAGAGAAAGGGACTGCAAACATGCGCCCATATCACACCGATAGGCATCCGATGGGTACTTGGGTGACCTGAGACATCTCACAGGTATCCATTGGCTGATGCAAAGAACGATCCCTTAAGCATGGTAAGGGAATCACTGGGGTTCTTGCTCGAAAACGGATCTGCAGGTCCCAGCTTCACGAGCCAAAGAAGCACCCGACCGTGAGTGAAGGAAACATCCGCACAGAAAATGCACGTCCTTCGGTCTCTGCTTTGGATGGGGCTGCTGGCCCTAAAGAACAAGCAACTAGCGAGAGAGAGAGAGAGAGACAGAGACAGAGACAGAGACAGAGACAGAGACAGAGAGAGAGAGAGAGATACGAGCTAGCTAGCTTCGAGGATAGGTGGCTGGATATATAGACAACTGATAGAAACACACACACACACAAACACCTATATCTATATATATATATATATGTATACATATGTTTCTCTACATCTATTTGTATACCAAGCACGTACCTGTCGGAGCTCATCAGCCTTCCGCGACTTCTCCTGCCGGCCCACTGTCGCAACTAAATACGGGCTTGCAGCTTGCCCAGAAACCGGAAACTTGACGGCGGTTCCGTGAAACATTAATCGTCGCGATGTCAATCACCACAACATGTTCATGCAGAGCGACTCCCCATAACAGTCGGGTTCGGTTCTATCGAACTGGATTGGACATCAGAAGTGTGAAAATGCAGGCTTGGTAAGCGGCTGTTGCTGGCTCTGTCATGATATTGCAAACCTGCTAATCTTCATGGTGATACTCGTGCATGGTGCAAACCTATCGAGACGAACATGAAGACGAGGGTGATTACTTAGTTACATGAAACAGCATTACCAGCAGCAGGAAGAGAAGGAGGGGGATGTGGACCCTGAGCGCACACCTTGTCCCCAAGACGAAAAAGGCCTAAAGCTGAAGCATCGACACTGCAAACCTGGCTTCTTGTAACCCTCACCCTTACGAAACACCCTGAATCAGACACTGAAGCCTAGACTTAGACTCTAAGGAGGATAAACCCCTCAAGAACCAAACCAGGCGACCCCCCCCGAGGCCAAGCACTTTCTGAAGCGCTTCTAAGCTCTGTCGGTTCTTTGCCTCGGAAGGTTGCGAAGCTTTTGCATTGAAGGCATCGGGAAGCGGATATTCTGAGGCTCTCGTCTCATGATTTCTGATTTTTTATGGGGTTTAGGCTTCCGAATCGGGCTGTACGAGTCTCAAACATAAGGAATCGTATGATTCGGCTTCCTGCGTGACCTACTATCGCCACAGAAATGGCCCATCATTGTTTACATTGACGTGCCTGTGAAGGTTCAGGATCGGCCTGAGCATCCGATCCTGCACTTGGGGGCTTTAGAATATAGACTAGTCAGGGCCTGCACGACTAACATACACTCACACAAATACGCGCATGGGTGTACACACTTAGACACACAGTCTCATGCTTGCGTGCACTTAAAACTTGCAAAGCTCCACGGGCCCTTGAGCTGCTAAGATGAAAAGCAGTCGTGCACACAACAACTGATATTCTGATGCTACCATTGACTGCACGAGCCCGACTTCAACCCGGAGACCTCCACTTCGCCTGTGTGTGAATTAATGAAACCATCCGCAAGGCACCTTCAGGGTGTTCAAGCGCCGTGTTCCTTCTTGCACCTGGGGCTGACTGAAAGTCAATTCTGGAAAGCATTCCGTGGCCTGTTTTCGCACGCACAACTTTTGAGCTCAAGACACTTGTTTGTTTGAAAAAGGACCCAACAGAATTTCCAAGCAATTGGCCTCCTGCTCGGTTTGCGCAAGCCGGGCCTACGCAAAGTGCTGGTGGGAGGACTGGCTCCAAGAGCTTTAGGGATGTTTCCACTCCGACAGACCTTCTTATGTACTCACAATGAATGTTCACATATACACGTGTATGTCCGTAAAATGCACAAACGCATACATATAGACATATACGGATTTGATACATACATACGTACATACATACATCCATCAGTCCATACATACATATGAGCGTTGATCTAAATTCATTGTCCCCGAATGACCTTCTTCACGGAAACCTAATTTTCTTTAGCGGGACTTCCCCCCTAACTTGCGCGCGCCCTTCGCGGACACACATTCGTGACGAATTTTGTAAGAGTTCTACGAGGGCTGTTTACAGGCCCTACAAGACTCTTTCAGGGTTCTAGTATCTACAAGGTTGATGCTCCCGGCTGTAATGATAGTGCTAGTGCACATGCAAATGCTAGTGCTGGTTGTCTAGTTGTGGTATGTGGACGTAGTAGCCGTATAGAAATGGCAACGGCGCGTTGACGTGATATGGCAAACTCGACTTTGGCAGGACTCTCGGATTTTGAGGAACCTTCGACTGAGCTTGAATACCAGCTAGACGACAGGTAACATTATGAACACGTGTTGGAGAATCTTACACCAGGCAGTCACATCAGCCACCTAAAGAGGACGAAGAGCCTGCTTCCGCTGCAGCTCTGCCTCCAACTCCTGCCAGGTGGCTTCCAGAAGCGGGACAAGTCTGTACTAAGGGGTATCATACGGGATACTACACGGGACAGTAAAAGAACATGAGGGGTACTGTAGTGGGTACTAAAGGTGAGAAATGGCGGAGCAGCTTTGATTCCTGACTGTAGAAGTAAGTCAAGATCTCACCTACACTACGTATCACCGTCCCCCGAGTACAACTCTACATATTGGCCCTGTTTCATTCTCATCACGATCATGACTCCTTCCATTACAGCACTCTTATAGTGAGCGTCGTCATTAAACTACCATCATGAACAGACCACTCCTTGAGAGCTTAAGCATCCACACGGCAACTGAACCCGCCGGCCTCGGATCGCACGCGGAGCTTTTCGGACTTCTGCCGCAAGCCTGAGAGGTTGGCCGATAGGTCTAGGTACTCAGCTCTTGCCAATGAGAGCTTGCTGACTCCGGTGTTATGCAGCATCATTTCCGCTTATCGCACCTTCCTCTTCGTTGAAAAGAATCGCACAATATGTCGCGAAGTAGCAGCAGCAGCAGCAGCAGCAGCAGCAGCAGCAGCAGCAGCAGCAGCAGTAGCAGTCGCAGTTATTGTTGTTGTCGTCGTAGCTGGTAGTAGTACTGGTAGAAGTAGTACGAGGGGCACGGGCAGTAACAGTAGCAATACTAGTAGCTGTCGTGGTAGGAGCAGTAGTAGAAGCAGTCGTCGACGTCGTAGTGGTAGCAGTGAGAATCGTAGCCGACGTTGTCGTAGCAGTATGTAGTAGTAGACCACTAGCGGTGCTAGTGCTAGTACTGGTACTATGAGCTAGTAGTGGAGGTAGAGGTAGAGGTAGAGGTAGAGGTAGAGGTAGAGGTAGAGGTAGAGGTAGAGGTAGAGGTAGTGGTTAAATCGAGCCCCGCAGTTGACAGGAAAAGGGTTAAGCCAAAGCCCCAAGCGAAGCCCGAAGCCCAACCTAAGCTCCGGCAGCTGTTTCAGGCTCGAAGCTCGAAACCGGGACACACCCAAATCACGTCCCTGCCCGAAGCCCAAGCGAGCCCTCAGGAAACTCTGCCCAGGACTTCCCCTCAGCCCCACCAGTCCCCTAAGCCGGGAAGAGCCTCAGGTAGTGGTAGCGTAGCTGCCGCAGCTGGTCCCGAGACCAGCGGCCTGCATAGGTTTTTCCGAGCGCGGGATGGGGCCTCCCAGCGCTAAGGGCCAGCCGGAGGCTGGCAAAGGCAAGGGCCAAGGAGGGGTGGGAGGAGGAGGCCGAGGAAAAGGGAAAGGAGGAGCTGGCACTGGCAAGGGCAAGAGTGCCAAAGAGGGAAGCCGAGCCCCTCATGACCAGGCCCAGGGCCGGGGAAGGCACCCCCCAGGACAGTGGGTGTCCCCGATAGCCCTCAGCAGGGAGCAGGAAGCTCA